GTACACATGGTCACTAAGATACGTACAAAGGGCCACTAAGATACATACACATGGTCACTAAGATACGTACAAAGGGCCACTAAGATACGTACACATGGTCACTAAGATACGTACACATGGTCACTAAGATACGTACAAAGGGCCACTAAGATACGTACACATGGTCACTAAGATACACAGGGCCACTAAGATACGTACACATGGTCACTAGATACGTACAAAGGGCCACTAAGATATGTACACATGGTCACTAAGATACACAGGGCCACTAAGATACGTACACATGGTCACTAGATACGTACAAAGGGCCACTAAGATATGTACACATGGTCACTAAGATACACAGGGCCACTAAGATACGTACACATGATCACTAGATACGTACAAAGGGCCACTAAGATACGTACAAAGGGCCACTAAGATACGTACAAAGGGCAACTAAGATACATACACATGGTCACTAATAACACGTTGGTAAGACATAATAAATATAAACAAGTGTGAGTAATGATCAGTAGAGGAAAACGGTAGATTAACGGGTGGTCAAGGCTGGGACTAACACTGCCTGGACGACCTCACTTTCCTTGTGTTGCTGTTGCTGCATCATTACAAGCTTTTCCTTTCTCTGAACCCCAGACTGTAGCTCCCCTCCTGCCTCGCCCTCCCCCACCATTGTGGCTCCACCTTCCTCACCCTCTCTTTCTCCAGGCTTTTTTTTCCCTGTCTTTCCTTCCTGTGTTTCTTCACCCAGCTGTTACGTCCAGATCAACTAACTCTTCCCCTCAGTTGAGGTGCACCGTGCACAGTAGCACACTTACATTTCATCCTTATCTTCAGCCTCTTATCTTATCACCTCACTCACTTGTCATCAACCACCACCACTTTTCTAGTTTTTTTTTTTTTTTTACCAGGTTTATGGCTTCTGTCTTTCATGAATGCTTCACTCAACGTTATTTTGATCTTTTACTTCTTGTAGATCACTGCTACTGCTTTAAACCCGGTAGTTTGTCATCACAAACATTACAATAACCACAACATTGATAGCTCACGAAATGAAGTTAAATATATAACAATAAAATAGGGAAATAAAGATAATATTTTAATAGTGAGCCCCCCCCCCCCACAACCAGGACTTCCTCAAGACACTGCTGTCACCTTCACTGTTTTTTATTCTTACAACAAACACTTATAAAACACTAGCAACTTAACCATCCTCTGCCACTGGTAACAAAGTGAACATTGGTAGAAGACATCGAAAAAATGCCAGCAGAAATTAACCAATGTTCCAGTGGGCAGTGAAAAATGTTTTGTTGATCAGTGACAGCCACTAAATACAGACAGTTCATTTATTACAAAAAATAAATGGATTATTTACTTGCAGTGTTAGTAATTCAGGATAACCCAGGAAAAGCCAGTCATTGTGGCTTGTTTATATTGGGGTCTTTACCTCTCCCAGGATGTGACCCAGAACAGTCCGCTAATGCCCGGGTACCTACTTACTGCTAAGTGAACACTAGTAACAGATGTAAGGAAACATGCCCGACACTTCACTCCAGCTGTCAGTCAAGAAGCTGCCACTTCAGTTAGTATAATAGACCTGCGACTGATGCTGCCACTTAACTAGCTTCTTCAACCACACAGTAACATTAACAGTAAACACCAAGAAAATGAAAGACTGGAATATTAAAATTGTCAACATGGGAAGTCATGTCAGTGATGGTGTTCTAACATGTGTGCTTGCAGGTGTGTTTGTAGGTGTTCTCGTGTGCTAGCAGGTGTCTTGTGTGCTCGCAAATGTTTACATGTACTCACAGGTGTTCTCATAGGTATTCCTGTGTGTGCATGTAGGTGTTTTTATGTGCTAACAGGTGTTCTCACATGTGCTCGCAGCTTCCAGGGCAGGAGAGAGATCTGGCCAGGGAGTGAACTCACAAAACTGGATTGTCATTTTAATTAAGAGGTGCTGAACCCACAGGAGTAATGAGGTTTGATTCAGGGATGAGGAAGGTAGATGTAATTCCTTAGATCAAGAACCCTTCAGTTTCAGTGGCATGATGGTACAGTTTTATAGTTTCCAGTTCATGATAATTTAGCTCTGGGGTCATCCTCTTTATTATTATAAATATAGGTTGAAACATAAGCCAATAAATTAACATATTGATAATGTAAGATGCTTATAGTATAACCTTACCAGGTTATAGACACTTATAGTATAACCTGATCAAGTTATAGATAGTGTAATCTGATCAGGTTACAGATACTTGAAGTATAACCTGATCACTAGTTTCAAATATTATACTCTTCAGAAGTGTTGTACAAACCCCCTTTAAGATATTTATAGTGTCACCAGTATTTACTTTTGTAAAACAGTTTATTAGATTTCATCATTAATCATGCTACTGTATTCTTATAACAGGACTGTATTACTCTATTTTTAGAATAAAGTTAGATTCAGTTGACATTTCTTAGAGAGAGAATATAATTATTGTATATTCTACAGGTTGATGACCAGATGAAGTTGCTACAGCACTCGTGGTCAGACCTGCTGATCCTGGACCACCTTCACCAGCGTATACACAACAGACTCCAGGTATTCGTCTATTGATGCATAGTTAAAAAGTATAATTTTAAGTAATGTAATAGTTATTATCATTTACAATTGAAGCATATGGCTATAAGTGGAAAAAGGCACTATGGAAAGTTCAGGACATTTATTAGAGGAAATATTTCAAATCATAATTAGGACTGAAGAAGCTGCTACTGGCAAAATGTTTACTCTAATAAATGTTGTGAATGGTACACAGGTGTTGTTTTCCACATCTTGCTGGTATCATCAGACCATTTTTCAGTTACAAGAAGTGTTACAAGTGTGTTCATATTTGCTCTATATTTTCTGTATTTAAACTTCAACTAATGCTGAATGTATGTTTTCCACAGGATGAAACTACACTACCTAATGGTCAGAAGTTTGACCTCCTGTCCCTGGCCTTGCTAGGGACGACGCAGTTTGCTGACCGTTTCCACGGAGTCCTCAATAAACTGGTGGATCTCAAATTTGATGTCCCAGAATACGTCTGTGTCAAATTTGTGATTCTACTGAATCCAGGTACAGTGTTACTCAGTAATGGTTGCGCAAGTGTGTTGCTCATTAATCCTTAAACTGTCCAAACGTAGATCTACATTCATGTACATAGCACTCCGAACTTTTTATTGTACATGCTTTCTTATGTGAAAAAATGTAGATCTACGTTGGGAGCGCTACGCACGTGAACGTAGATCTATGTTTGGACAGTTTAAGGGTTAATGGTTGCATCAAGTGTGTTGCTCAGTAATAGTCACATCAACACTTGCTTCCAGGACACAAGTGCAACTAATGTGACATTTTTATTGTGGCAACGTTTCGCTCTCCAGGAGCTTTATCAAGCCATTATGGCTTGATAAAGCTCCTGGAGAGCGAAACGTTGCCACAATAAAAATGTCACATTAGTTGCACTTGTGTCCTTTTACTTTATATATTGTCGGTAATTCTACCACCTTTATTACAACACTTGCTTCCCTTCTCATTCCTCTCCTCCATCCTGCCCACCAAATGTTCACTTAAGTTATTCACTTGTTTAAAATGATAATTTTTTTTTATTTTTACATAAAAATAATGTAGAAAATCGCCTTAACCTTGCAAAAAACTTACAAAATATAATATAGCTTGAGTTACTAACTTGTCTGAAGAATTTGCATACTTTAGTTAATTGTTTTTCTCAGGAAGAGGGGAGGGGGTAGAGGAGATGGGGGTTGAGGGGAGGGGGGAGGAAGGTAAAAGCACAAATCTTCAGATAGCCGCTCAGTAATTTCCTTGACTAGTTTGACAGTTTTACTAGAAACACATTTTACTCCTCAACCAAATTATTTGTACCATATTGTATTGATGTATTTTTTTTATCAAATAATGCAGTTAGTTGTGTTATAGTGTTAGAATGAGTGGATCACTGCAGACAAGTTTTATGCCATTTTAGATATGTGATACTTACACACAGTTATTAATTTACAATTTTTTGTGGACAGAGGTGCGGTTGTTGAGTGACCGTCGCTCAGTGGTGACAGCTCACGACCAGGTGCGACAAGTGCTCATGGAATACATTGCCAATGTATATCCTGATGAAACGGTATGTACTATACATTTTTTTTTTTTGGCATCTTTAATCTCTTTTTTTTTTTTAGTAATAGTTTGTAAGGTTAGTTTTGAGTTAAGGTAAAGTGAAGGAAGAGTTCAGCAGGTCATTGTTATGCTCAGCTTAATGCAATAAAAAGTCAAAGTATTTCATCTTAATGATTACAGGTTATTAAAATATTTTCATGATTTTTATATGAAATTATTGCATTTTAATTGTGACTGCTGCTGTTCTTTGTAAAATTACTAAAGCAATATGACTGCAGTGTAATTGTCAACATGAAAAGAATTCTCCATGGCAACAAATATGTGCAGTATTAAATATGTATTTGCTTTTAGAGTCCCATATACATTTTAAGGAACTGTTTTGTTTATAACAATATCTTCAGTGCTTCATATAATTGCTTTTATATTTATAAAAATAATAATGCCCAAACACCAAACAGCCTTCATATGAATTATTCATGTCATATACCAAGACTGTTAGTCTAATGAACATGACTCAACAAAAGTTATATTGTTTATCAATACTGTATATGTTTATGTTGTGCTTTTCTGGAAGAGTTGATCAAGCAAGTCAGATTTCCACCAAAATTTATCTATTTGAGAGAAAAAAAAAAGTCTTACGTATTGATGGATATATTTTCATGTACTGACATGGTACACAAATTTTTAATTTTGTACTAAAACTTATTTCCTGTAGCAACCTCAGCTAACATTACTAAAAGTAGTGTTTAAAAATTAGCTTCTTATCTTAGGTCAACCTACATTTAATAAATACTGTGTTATTTAACATTAGTACATTATATTAATTAGAAAAGAAAATAGAAAACATTGCCACACATGCGATGTACTCAGTGTGAATAAGAGCAGCAAGGCAAAGAGCCACTGCATACACATGTTAACACACATGTGCACACACACAAGCACATACATGTGCACACACACAAGCACATACACGTGCACACACACAAGCACATACACATGCACACACACAAGCACATAAGTCACATACACATGCACTACACATGCAACACACAATACTACACATGACACATTAGCAACACATATGCACATGCAAGCAAAGCACATACACACATGCATATGCAAGCACATACACATGTGCACATACATGCACATACATGCACAGACACAGAATCTATACCCACCAGCTGATGCCATTGATACAGTTCTCGAGAACAGAATGCTTTGAGGACAGAACAAGGAATATGTGCTCTAGAGGACCACAGTACCTTGTACCTTCTTACAAAGTGCTTGAGTTTGTCCAGGCTTATATATTTTCTAAGATGTGCACCCTCATATGACAGTCCTATATTACATGAATACAACAGTCTTCTGAGGTTAGTATTCAGATAAGTGTTCAACCTCACTCTTGATTGTGGACCAAGCTACACTTCCAGTCAGACTAGGAGGTACTGGTGTCCACAAGGCATCACAGATTCCACTCACTGCCTTCCTGTATTCATATGTGACATCCAGTGAACCTGTAGCAGTGATTCTTCCTGAACACCTTAGGGACAGTGTTGGAGTTCATGACCAAAAGTTCATTGCTGGAGCCAGGCTCTGTAATCAGACCTATACCCTCTAACAACTACAGTCATACGAGGATGGCACAGTAGTGGAAAATATAGCCTCAGTAATGCTTGAGAGTGGTGAGCCTTGCTGATCATATCCTTGTCAAACACAGGTGTATCCACGGCAGTGAATTGGCAGAATGATTAGGGTACCATGGTCATACTTGCCATAGATCCAATGGAAAGATGCAAGGCATGAAGAGGTTAATAACATCATTGAGAGGAGCCTGGCAATAGCTGGATGACCAGTAATAAGGGAGCTACCTTAACTATGCAGGTCAGATGGCAACTAAAAATGTCCAGATGGTATCAGCCTTCAAACCTGGACAAACAGCAAGCAGGTGGTGTGGGACTATGCATGTGTCCACATTGGCTGATACTTATCTCCAATACACCAGGGAGGAAGGAGGGACAGCTGCCAGCTTCATGGAGTCCCAAAAGTCTAGAAAATATGTTGAACTTGCCCATCATTATGTGTGTTCCCATAGGCTCATAGATCCTTGGCCCATGGGAAAAATGCATCTAGGTTCCTTATGGAGCTAGGCAAAAGACTCAGGGTAACTAGGGATCCCAGGGCAGCTAGTTTTCTGTTCCAGCAACTCAGTGCTGTAGTTCAGAGAGGTAATGCCTCTTGTGTCCTTCTGGGTACAAGCCCCAGCTCTGAGCAGCTGCAGGAGATACTTGTATGTAATGTAATTTTTGACACGCATGTAGTATTATGTACTTGTAATATATACCTCAAACCTCATGATTGTGTACCATATTACATAATAAAATATAGTGGACCCTCAGTTATCAGCCGTAGTCTGTTCCAGAAGGTTGGCTTAAATCCGAAATAATATTTCCCATAAGAATTAATGTAAATCCAATTAATCCATCTCAGACACCCAAAAATATTAACAAAAAATACATTTTTTAAAGATTAACTATAGTTTTACATACAGAAAACAATGAGAAATAAATATATAGTAAAGCACAAATTTTAATGATAAATGAACATTACATACCTTTATTGAAGACACTTGTTGGCATATTGAAGAAGGCAGGAGGGGAGAGGGAGTTGGGAATCCCCACCTCCCTCTCCCCTCTGTGTAGTGTAGCTTCCCTTGGCTACACTACACAGCCATATTATTGCACTACACAGCCATAGTATTACCATGTTCAATGAGTTTAATCGTTTCTAACAACTACCTATAGATGCCATCATAAACAAATAGAGAAGTAATGAATAATTCACGCCGAGAATTGTAAACAAATGCATATGAAGGGTAGTTACTGGGTGAGATGCCAGTTTCACAGTTTTCTCTAACGCTGAGTCAGAGAAAACATAATGTTTACTCTCCACCATACTTTCCACTTGATTGCATATAAACATTGCATTGTTTATATGCTATATGCTATGTAACGTGTTTCTTATATAATTTTGAAGGAAATATCATAGATTGATTTATGAAAATGTCTATATTAACCTAAAATAAGACAATGTGCCCAAGAATGATTATTATTAAACATACATCGCATATAAACTTTGCAGGTTTTTATATATTATGTAATGTGTTTCTTGTATAATTTTGAAGAAAATATCATAGATGGATTAATGAAAATGTCTCTATTAAACTAAAATAAGACATTTAATGTGCTCAAGAGTGATTTACTTCGCGTCCAGTACAGCCAATCTCTGAAATAACGGCTGATAACTGGGATAGAATTTCGGCCAAATAAGCAGGCGAAAACCGCATTGGCCAATATCCAGAACGGCCAATAACCAAGGGTCCATGATATACTTATTTATAAAATTATGTTAATATTTCCCAAGAAATAATGTAACTCTAATTAATCCATTCCAGACACCCAAAAATATTAACAAAAAATATATTTTATAGAGAATAACTAGTTTTACATTCAGAAAAGGGATTATGAAATTCGAGGGTCCACTGTATAATATTTATTGAGTGTTACAGTAACACTGAGGAACATTAGTGTGGCCATCAGCTGGAAACTATATTTCATTAATGCTCAGTAAGACAGTACTAAGTAAATATAGTCTGATCTTAGATAGTCTGGAAATCATTTAGTTATATTTACTTTATTATAGTAATGTTAGGATAGGTTGGTAAGTTAGTTTTGGTGAAAAATGAATCATTTCTATACTTTATTCTTAAATATGTAACAAATTTTGAAAAAAGACTTTTTGAAAAAATTCTGGTTTATTCAACTTGTTCTTCCTAAGAAAATGATATTTATGTGTAAAAATAAATTATATATATATATATATATATATATATATATATATATATATATATATATATATATATATATATATATATATATATATATATATATATATATATATATATATATATATATATATATATTAATCTTCTTTCAACAAACTGGCCATATCCCACCGAGGCAGGGAGGCTCAAAAGGAAAAACAAAAGGTTTTCCTTTTGAATTTAGAAATATATACAGGAGAAGGGGTTACTAGCCCCTTGCTCCCAGCATTTTAGTCGCCTCTTACAACATGCATGGCTTATGGAGGAAGAATTCTCTTTCACTTCCCCATAGAGATAAGCAGAAATAAACAAGAACAAGAACTAGTAAGAAGATAGAAAAAACCCAGAGGGGTGTGTACATTTTTTTTTTCAACAAACCGGCCGTATCCCACCAAGGCAGGGTTGCCCAAAAAGAAAAACGTAAGTTTTTCTTTTTAAATTTAGTAATTTGTACAGGAGAAAGGGTTACTAGGCCCTTGCTCCCAGCATTTTAGTCGCCTCTTATAACACGCATGGCTTACGGAGGAAGAATTCTGTTCCACTTCCCCATGGAGATAAGAGGAAATAAACAAGAATAAACACTAGAAAGAAAATAGAAGAAAACCCAGAGGGGTGTGTACATATATGCTTGTACAGTGGTCCCTCGTTTTTCGTAATTAATACGTTCCTGGAGGAGCTACTATAAATGAAATTTACGATTTGCGAATCAATTTTCCCCATAAGATATAATGTAAATACAATTAATCCGTTCCTGACACCCAGAAGTATTAAAACAAAAAAATTTTTTACATGAAATATACATGTAGTATATAAACAATACAATGGGAAATGATGAGTGAAACATTAACAGCATAACACTTACCTTTATTGGAGATTCTTCTTAGTGTATGGGAGACTGGAGGAGGAGAGAGATTGGATTGTTTACAGTTTGCAAGGGAATCCCCTTCCAGCAACACCTCAGGTACCAATTGCTTCTTTGGGGTTGCTTCTCTTCTCTGTTTCTTAATGCCACTAGGACCACCTTGAGAGTCACTCTAGTCCTGTCTCGCAAAGTAACTGTGGAGAGAGCTCAGTTTCTGGCGTCTCTTTAACACTTCCCTAAAATGGCCCAAGACTTTGTCACT